CTACCCAGCCATAGAAAAAGAGAGGCTGGGCTCCGCCCCTCGCCCGCCGGTTCAACTGGTTCCCAGGGGAGAAAGCAGAGGAGCTCCAGCAGACATCACTCCTCATGCGATGGCCTGATGGACCGTACGTCGCCGGTGCCCCAGCCCAGCCTCCCCACCCGTGTGGGCAGCTCAGCCCTCCCGCTGCCGATGGGGACAGACCCCCTGGCAGAGGCTGAACTGGTAGCGCTGGGAGCCCAAGGGACAGGGATGCCCTGGACACAGGGGTGTCCAGCCCTGGCAGGGTGCCCAAGTGGCCGTGTCCTCCGACTGCCACCTCCTGGCAAAGGGCAGCAGCCGGGAGCGGGGCAGGGTCCTACAATGGGCTTGGGCGTTTGGGGATGCCCACAAAGGTTATGGCCCTGTGCAGGGTGAGGGCACCCACAGGGAGGCAGGACCCCAGGGTGACAGGGCGTCCCCCACCCGCTGCCCCCAGTCACAGACACCTCCCGGTGCGATGCACTTACGGCTGTATGCGATCATCTTCTGAAAGCCCCGAGCCGCAGGGTCAGGCAGCAATCATCGCCTGCTTGCAGAAAGAGGGGGAAACATCTCCCACGGCTGCAGGTAGAAGGTAGGAAACAGGGATAACCATTAAGAGCTTGGAAACAGGACAGCCAGGAACAAAATCCCTCCCCTCTCCAACCCTCTTCTTTGTGCACGCTTTGCCAGGCACAGCCTCTGGCTATGCCGTGCCCCAACGCGCAGCCAGGGCAGGAGCCAAGCCCCCGAGCATCCCTCCCCAGGAGCCAGCATCCTGGCACCAAGACCCAGGGTGGATGCTTGGGACACATGGGGACCTAGGTTGGATGCTTGGGACATGCGGGGACCCAGGGTGGATGCCTGGGACACGTGGGGATGCTGGGTGGGATGCAGAGGGAGCGATGCACATTGCGGACCCTGAGGCCCTGGCAGTGCCCGGCTTGGGACAGAGAGGCTGGGACTGCTCCCGGCCGGACAGCGGAGAGGAAAGGGACAGGGTGCATGTCCACATGGCTTGGGGGGCTGGTGGCTGTGCAGAGCCCTGGGCCAGCCCTGTCTGACCCCTGCTTGACTCCAGATGGAGCCGGGGTGCCTGGAAGCCTGCGTCACAGCAGGCTCCACGCGCAGGAGGGAAGGGTGACGGGCTGGAAAGGCAGCCGCACTCCAGGAAGCAAAGCCCCGAAGGTGCGCGGGGCTGTGACATAACTTCTGCAAACCTCAGCTGCTTCCTCAAAGCCTTCGCTTAACCACAAAGGAGGAAGGGCAGCTCTCCGCCATGCCATCTCCCACCCCGTGGACGCTCCCGGGTTGCTCTCCCTTCCACAGCAGCGCGGCCAGCCCGGCTGTGGGGTGCGTGGGGCTGGCACTGGGATGCTCTGGGAAGGCAACCCATGCCCCAAGGGGGTCTCTGTGGCACGGCACAGGGCTGCGGCTGCGCTGGTGGTGCTGGATGCATGGGACTGAGCTCACTCCAGACCCCTGCTGGCCAGGCAGCACCCATCTCTTGAGCTGCTTTTGCTTTTAAGCCACAGTTTGTTCCCTGACAAGGGACAGGCATGTCCAGATCAGACAGGAGAGCTCACCCCACCATGCATCTCACGCTGCATCGGGTGTCCACGCAGCCGTTTGCCCGTGCTGCCTCAGCCAGGAGCCACCATAGCACGCCAGGTGTCCTGGTTTCGGCTGGGATAGAGTTAATTTTCTTCATAGTAGCTAGCATAGTGCTGTGCTTTGGATTTAGTACCAGAAGAATGTTGATAACTCACTGATGGTTTTAGTTGTTGCCAAGTAGTGCTCAGACTACTCAAGGACTTTTTGAGCTTCTCCTGCTCGGCCAGGGGCATCACAAGCTGGGAGGGAGCACAGCCAGGAGAGCTGACCCCAACTGACCAGAGGGCTATTCCAGCCCATGGAACGTCT